TCTGCTATTTGTGTGTTTTTAATTATACTTGATAGTGGATTTATGCCATTATTAGGACCCCTAAGTTTGCCATTATTTTTTATCATTTTAGGTTTTGAATTTATGTCTATGATCTATCTTTACTTAATTTTTATGTATAACCTTCCATAGACTTTGTAAATTTGTCCAACTAAGCTGTATTCGCTTGCATACAGAGTTGTACCACAATCTATGTAATTGTTGTTAAGTGCTATAGAGTCAGTTCCTACTTACAGCAACACAGTGAAGGGTTTCCGAGGAGCAGCTGGTGAGTTCGAACTGCTGACCTTCTTGTGCAAGCTGACCTTGTGGTCCAGTAATGTGGTCCTGGGATGGCATACCAGGACTCCCAAGACCCCCCTGGTTGGTGTTTAAGCGCATCCAGTTGGTTCTGATTCATAGCAATCCTGTGTAGAGTGAGTTTGGTGAGTTTGCACGGCCCATCCTTACAGTTAAACCTGAACTTTCAGTCCAGTGTTTATTTTACAGAGCCACACCAGAACTCCAAGACTTTCACTGTTGTTGTTTTAAGTGTCGTTGAGTCGATTCCAACCCACAGTGACCCTGTATAGGGTTTCCAAGGAGCAGCTAGTAAGCTTGAACCGCCAACCTTGAGGTTCAAAGTGACTTTGCAGTCCAGCACATTAACCCACAGCACCACACCAGGACTCCAAGACTTCCCCTTCTTCTTGTTGTTGTTAAGTGCCATCAAATCGATTCCGACCCACAGCGACCCTGTATAGGGTTTCCAAGGAACAGCTGGTAAGCTTGAACCACCGATCTTATAGTTCAAACAACTTTGCAGTCTGATGCATTAGCCCACAGTGCCACACCAGGACTCCAAGACTTCTGTTGTTGTTGTTGTTATTAGGTGTATTCAAGTCGGTACTGACTCATAGCGACCCTATGTGCAACAGGACAAAACACTGCCAGGTCCTGGGCCAACCTCACAATTGTTGCCACGCTTGAGCCCATTGATGCTGCCACTTTGCCAATCCATCTCGCTGGGGGTCTTCCTCTTTTTCACTG